GTGAATCATGTTAAACAATTTCACCACAAAACAACCACTATGGCTAGACCAGAAGAGTTAAAAAGGTTGGAATGCAACCCAAAAGACTTGTTGGATAATTACATTAAAATTTCAGAATGGAATGGAACACATCCTGCGTTGTTTTATAATATCGATGAAATAGGATTTAATGAATGGACTGACTCTCAAAAAGTACGAGTTTTTGTTGATGATAAAACGACAACAACGAAGGTTGGAATTTCACGTTCATCAAAACGAAGTACTGTTATAGCGTGTATATCCGCTTCGGTTAAATTCTGTTCTCCTGCAATAGTAATTCCAAACAAGTACATTGGAGAAGACATTTGTTTAAATTACCCCAAAGTCAAGATTTATTTTACCAACACGGGATTTGTTAACAGGTTTATATTTTGTAGTTGGATGTATGACAGCGTGTTGAAGTATATCGTTGAAAAACGTAAAAAGTTGAAACTCAACGAAACAACATGGGCGGTGATAATCATGGATAATTTTAAAGCTCATTTTGATAGTGATTTGATTGAAATATTTAAATGTAACCACGTCCACATACATTTTTTAGTTCCACATAGTAGTCATCTCACTCAACCACTTGATTTGTGTTTGTTTGGAATTGTAAAAAAGAATGCAACAACACAAGTTCCCATATTCACAACATTTAAAAGACTACAAATACCAACAACCAATCAAACGGCAGGAACCGAATGTCACGAAGAAAATGATGAACTGTGTTGTTTGTTTTCTGAATGGATTAAGTCTCTTGAGGATCCCATTTCTACGAAAGCAATAGAAAAGGAAAGAGCACAATGGGGAGCCAGAGTTACAAGCCAGATTTCTAAAGTACTTCGTTCGATATATCAAAAGACGACTTCTGAGAATATAATTGATTCTTTTACTAGAGCAGATTATGTATCTATCATAAAAGACCACTCTATAAAAGTGTACGTTGATATTAAACATGCCTCTTTGGTTCATAAATTGGTGATTCCAATTTTGAGTGATGTCATAATTGACAAACTGACGCCACCATGCGAAAATGTCGTCATGACAACTGCCATTATAGCCAATGAACAAACTGTTGTCGACGCAAAAGACTTGTGGACGAAGATCAACAATACATTACAACCGACTTTCGAGGTCGGGTTTCGAATATATAACCAACTTCAAAATTCACCACAACTTAATATCGGATTGCCTTTAGATTTGCCACAAAAAAGACAACTACAGCTTAATATTAGACTATCACCTGATTTCCAATAGCATAATTTTAGTAGCTATTTAGATTTTGGAACAACGAACAGCAAATTCGTTTTAAAATATGACCTAGAAATATTATCAATGCCGCTTTTTGACAACAATGGTATTAGAAGACCTTTTACCATGATGGAACTTGAAGAATTGGGAAATGAAGTTCCAGTAGATTAGCCAAAAACAACGATGAAGTGGTAAATTCCAAAAATAAAATCCCATAAGGCAAGCGCATGGATTAAACAAGTTATAAATAACACATTCAAAATATACTATATTTTTGTTATTTTAAAATTACGAATAAACTAGAATTAATGAAAAACATTTCCAGAAGGCAAGCTTTTCCCATAAGGCTAGCTTGAGGGACTGTACAAAAAGAATATAAAACAAATTTAAATAATATAATAGATTTGACTGATTCAATTTAAAAATGAAATTTTTTATGCTGGAATAGCTTTATATAATATGGAGTTTATCTTAATATAAATTTGTATATGTTTAAAAAAACATCAATAATACTATAAAAACATTATGACACAATCTATTAACATTAATTTAGAATATTCAAATATAATTTTGTTTTACAAAATGTTATTGTTCAAAGAAAAAAATAACTAAAAAATTCAATTTTTTATTATTTTAATTAAAATTTCAAATCTTGTTAATTTTTCTCTTTTTTGGGAATTTCAATTATTTTTTCTTTAATTAAATAATCATTGACAATCTTATATACAAATTAAGAAATAAAAAAACTTGAAATATTTAGATGTTTTATTTTTCACTTTTCATAAAGTTAATTTTTTTTAATCAATTAAAAAACTTATAATTAAAAATAACTATTTCAAAACAAACCCAAACTATTTTAATAAAATGATAATTTTATTACGAAATAAGAATTATAATTTACTATAGTAATATGAATATATAATATAAATTACCATATCTGACAAACTTATTTTTTAACAGCTGAAAATAGTAAACGCTTCACATTTCCTTTGATTTCAAAACAAACTCAAAGGGTTTCCTCTTTTTTATCTTCTCAGAAAGTTTAGAAAACCCTTTATTACTTTTAAAAAGATAAACTAGACAATAGAACTAAAAAGTTCAGACATGAACATCGCATTGTGTGTTCTTCTTTTTTCACTCGTAACGTCTCACACGAGTAGTATGAATGTTCCGTCCGTTCTTTTACCATACCCAACAAAACAACATTCAATCGACTACACAATCGAGGCGACTAATGGCTGTTTCGAATGGACAACATCAAATCCGACAATTGTCAAGTTACGTCCAATTGGTGGGGCGTGCTCAACTCAGTGCACACTCTCTCTTTCATATACAGAGAACAAAGGAAGACAAAACTTCTGGATATACGCACAAGACGACACACAACACGTCAACTTACGGACAGAAGTCACTATCGACAACATCGACTCCATTTCTGTCGTCACCACAACTCGTCTCATGAACAAAGACGACTTTGAAGTCCTTGAAATTGCTGGATACGACACGATCGGAAACAAATTTTCAACATTGGAAGGGATCCCAGTCATGTGGTCAATTGAGTCTGTCAATGGCACTAAAGGCAATGGTGGAGACTATGTCAGAATAGAACGATTTTCGACTGCTGGACACACATTGAGACTGAGAGCATCACAGACTATATTAGACATGGAAACTTATAATCTCTTAACATCAAAAGTATTGGTGAAGGGTCTTGAGCTTGGAAAGGCGAAGATGACGGCGCAGTTAACACATCAACCGACAAAATACTCTGCTGTTGTACTCACTGTGTTACAGATGTTAGTGGTGTTGCCAGATAGAGAACTCTATGTGTTGGCGAATACGAAAATACCGTATACTGTCTTCACAATGAAAAGAAGTGAAATAGATACACAGATTATGATGCCAAACTCTAATTACAAATGGGAGACGTACACACCAGATGTCCTCCAGATTGAGCAAAACGGCATTGCGTCTGCTATGAAAATAGGAAAGGGCACAATTTCAGTGATGTACATTGGGACGCCGGAGTCTATTCAGAAAAGAACCGTCCACGTTGTCACACCAAATAAAGTCCGATTGGTTTGGAAAGAGATAAGAGGAACTTGGCAATGGATTAATGGGAGAACGTATGAGGTAAAACCGGAGTTGGTTGACAATCTTGGCAACTCGATATCACATGTTCAAAGTGCTGAATATAAGATTACGCCCAAAGGAGGAGTTAAGATTATTTCGTATACCACCGGGTACACTTCATTCATTGTGCAAGCGACTAAAATCGGTCGAGCTCAAATTGAGGCTTCTTTCTTGAAAGGAAATGGGATGAATGTGAGAGCGGGGTCAGTCAGTTGTGTGCAAGACATTGTAATTACACAACAAGTTGTGGCTTCACCTAAGAAGTTGAATTTGGCTGTTCCGGGAACTGCGGGATGTAAGATAACGGCGATTGGGGGACATGGAGAGTACGTCTTCTCGGTTGATGGTGAGTCTGTTGCTGTAACAAACGATGGGATTGTATTCCCAAAGAACGCTGGTGCGGCGATCGTCACCGTGAGTGATTCAAGAAATTCCGAAAACTTTGACGTTGTTGAAGTTGAGGCGCGAGAAGTTGTTGCGATAGAAATTGTGAATGAAGTTGTCGAAGCGCTTGTTGGGAACCAACTGAACTTCTCTGCGAGAGCGCGAGATACATATGGTAACTACTTTGACCAATGCTCGAGCGCTGCTGTGAACTGGAAGATAACACAGCCGGATATCTTTGAAATGAAGTCGAATGTGACTGGAAGAGCGTGCAACATCACAGCTATCAAGTCTGGCACGACGACATTGGTTGCGACGTATGGGAAAGGTATTGCTGAGATACAGATCTTTGCGTTTGACAAATTAAGTTTGGTGCTGAAGAGTACAAGAGCGCCTCATATTGTCAAGGCGAGCGGATTCAAAGTGTCATTTGAGGGAGGCCCTCTCCCATGGTACATGGACAAAGGATTGTACTTCACGAATATGTCCACCACCAACTCGATTGCGCAAGTCACCCACAAAGGAAACAATCAGTTGCTGATCGTGTGCAAGGAATATGGAGAGTCGACGATTACGATCACTGTTGGTAACAAGAATGGAAAGACTCATTTGTACACAATCAAGTCATCTGCGAAGGTCCAATTTACTTGCAGTGAGCCAAGTGTCTTGATGTTGACGACACAGGATGTCTTTGAGAGTGACTTTGCTGGGAAGGAAGTTGTGAATAATATACCATCGATTTGCAAGGAAAGAGCCGTGTCCGGAGGTGATGGTGTGACGAACGAAATGACTGTGAGAGTTGGCGAAGAGGTGGATTTGGTTGGTTATGTGAAACCGACGACCACCGGGATGTACACCAACTCGTCGTCTGTGGAATACGTCTGGAGCACTTCGGACAGCAAGAAAGTGGCTATCAGTAAACAAATCAATTTAGACGACCATTCGATGATCCACGCATCTGTTGGAGACTTTGTCGGCAAAGTTGAGTTGAGACTCTCTGCCGTGAAGTATCAAAAATCGTATTTCAATGCCATTGGAGTCAGCAGAGGCCTTGAAATTAGCAACAAATTGATCAGAACGATTACGATGAATATTGTCGATGTTGTCTCGGTAACACCAAAGAAGGTCACTATCTTTAATCACCCGGAGAACTTTGTTCGACTCACTGCTGCTTCTGGAAGTGGGTTCTATAACTTCACGACGGATTCTCCGTTGGCTGTTGCTTTAGAACACTTTGGAACTGAACCGTCCTGTGTTATTAGACCACGGAATGAGACAAACACCTATGTTATTGCATCAGATGTCTGCTTTACTGGAAAGAGCGATGAAGCCCGAGTAGTTGTGACCGTCAGCGATGTGCATGGAGTGAACTTGGTTATGACCGACCAAATTGAAGTTGGGGAAAGCACTGTATTGAAGTTTGAAGCGATTGATATCAACGGGCAACCGTTTGATGAGAGCCAATATAAGTACATGAACATCAATGTTGTGGCGGATAACACAAATGTCTATTTAGAGAAGAAGAGTGTGAGAGAATACACAATCAGTGGTTCCACTGTCGGTATGTCTGTTCTTATTGTGACTATTAACAACGTACAATCCAAGCCAACAAGTCTGATCATCTACGAACACTTTACTTGCACGCCAAAGGAAATTAATTTGATTCCACTTGCACAAGAAGATATCAAATGCAGAGGTGGACCACCTTTGAGATCGACAGTAACACACTCTATAGTCTCTGGGAACGCTGTGGTACTCAACGGAGACAAAGTAGTTGGTGAACTGAAAGGAAGAAGTTTGATTGAAAGTCGAGTGAACTTCATCGAGTCACTGACGGGAGAAAAGAAGGAGAAAGGAAAAGAGAACTGTGAAGTCATTGTGAGACACTTGACTGGATTGCGAATGGACGCGCATCAAACTTCGCTGGAAGTTGGTGGACAAACTAAAGTTCGAGTGATTGGCGAGGCGGACGGTGTCCAGGTGTCGATTGCAGCAACGCAATTGGACTTTTCGTGGAGCTCAACAGACGACTTACCACTTGAAATATTATCAGTGTACTTCAATGGGAACATCTCTGCGAATGAAGAAATGTCGCACACTGTATTGCTCTTAGCAAAGAAAGCTGGACAGACAAGAGTCAATGTGAAGATTGTGAATATCCAGAAAGGACTTCCTGAGGCCTATAAGTCACTATCGGCAAGTATCCTGATCCATGTTGTGGACCCATTCTCATCACTGTGTGCTGGAAGATGCCGAAATGTCATTGATATGGCTGTCCATTCGACGACACAAATCACGACAAACAGAGACCCATCCGAAGTCACCTTCCAGATTTGTGAGGGTTCACATATCGTCTCAGTGGACGCAAGCGGATCAGTCAAATCGTCGAACACACCGGGTTCTGCTGTGGTTCATGTGATCGAGAGAGAAACTGGAGAGACACTGAGTTATGTCGTGAAGGTCCACCGCATCCATGCCATCGAGTTGCTGCCCATTGAAAACTCGATTGGGATTTCTGTAGGCGAAGTTATGAAGTTTGAGTTGATTCAAATTGGAGACAGAGGAAGAGTGTTGCGACCGGCGTATAACAAATTGGTGCAGTTTGATATGATACCCTCTGGATCGGCATCTGTTGTGCAAACAGGGAACTTGAGTGTTATTGAAGTCACTGCTGCGAAACCTGGAAGAGTTATTTTAGTTGTGAAAAGCACTGAAGCAGTCAGATTACAAGACGAAGTCCGAGTCACCATTCACCACTCGGTCTCCCCAATCAATCCAATTGTGTTAGTTGGTACGCAAATACAATTTACAACAACGCATGTGACGAAGTGGACGAGCGAAGCTAAAAACATCGTCGCGATTGATTCCAATGGGAAAGCCGTTGCGAAGTCGATTGGAAGAACTGTTGTGAGCACAACAAGTGCTGCCCCTGCGCAGACTCGAATTATTGTATCCACGCTGGAAAGCGCACAAATGGAACCAAGTATGGTTGGAGCTGGTCGAGTGTTGATTCCAGTGACTTTGTATGCTGACGCTGGTATTGTTACACAAGCGAAGAGTGTTGATCTGAACTTGAACGCTTATTGTAGTATAGACCAAAGTGCTTGGGCGCAAGCGAGTGTTGAGGTCATTGAAGGGAAATTGTATTGCAGCGTTGTTGCTGTCGCGACGAATGCGGGGAAGGCCCCAGAGAATGTCAAATTGAGATTTGTGGGGAAGGACGGCACAGGAAGAAGTGTCCAGACTGTCGTTGTATTACCATTTAGAGCTGGTATTGTTGCCAAACCAGGTAATCTGAGAATCAAAACAGGAACGGAAGCACGACTTGATATCTACCGAGCGAAAGGAGATGTCATTGTGAGAGACTTGACCGGTGGGAAATTACAAATTCGTGAGATAACAAGAAGCGAAGGAACAGCAACGTTTGTGGTCAGAGGAATGGAGAATGTGAGAGGAGAAATTGAAGTGTTGGACGGGAATGAGAATCTAAAGGTGTCAGTAGAAGTTGGAGAGAGTAGCGTCAGAAAGCCTATGAACCAAACGAGTGCTAATGCATTGGGACCGATTGTCATTGCTGTTCTCGCCGTTCTGATTGCAACACTCCTCTTCTTTGTATGTCAGAAGAGAGGAAACAATAACTTCAACAATAACAACTTACAATACTATGGACAACAACCGTACTTCTACGACCAACAACAGCCAAGATATTAAACTCTGATTGAATCAGTAAATACTTTCTTGTTTTTAATTATAATAATAATTATTATTATTATAATTTAAATTAATTAAATTATACTAAAAAGAACTATAATTTATAATTTTTTCGGGGTAGACCTTTCCCACCCTCACCCCGTCTAAATATAGAATTAATTTACTATATTTTATAATTTTATAATTATAATTATAGTAAATGGGCGTTTTGGATAATATTAGGTCTGGTTCCCGAAATCAAGAAATGCCGAAAATTCACCTCGAGTTAGTGGAAACCGAGTGAGACGGAGCATTGAAAAGAAGGCTCTGAAGACACACTCAAACAGTCTGTTTGTGCACCGTTTCACCCACTTTCCAAGTCCTCCCTTGGCGCGGATCCCCCCTGACCCCCCGCAAGCGGGGGGAATCACATCCGCGTCCACACAGTACGGACAAGGAAAGTGGGTGACATGGGGACGCACAAACAGTGGCTGAAAAGTGGACTCCCTTCAAAAAACACTTGCGGCAAATATTTTATTTTGGTAAACGGGGTGAGGGTGGGAAAGGTCTGCCCCAATTTTTTCTTAAATGGATTTGATGATTGGAGTTGCAAAAATAGAATTATTTGTATACGAAATAACGAAACCCTAAGTCAATGACTCATCAAGGAAGGTGGGTTACTGAGAAAGAAGAGATGTCGATTAGATATAAGGCGATTGTGATAGACCACGATGACACCGCGTTTGACAGCACGCCGTCCGTTCATTACCCTGCGTATGTCAGATACTGCGAAGAGAAGATGCCGAAAGACTTTAAGATGTTAACACTAGAAGGGTGGTATGAGATGTTATGGCATTCGGACATTTCAGTGTATCAAAAGGAAGTCATGAAACTCACCCCAGAAGAACAGAAAATTGAGTTTTTCATGTGGAAAGAATTTGTAGGGAGATTTACCCCGAATATGTTTCCAGGGTTCTTGGAGTTCTTAAAGGAATTTAGAAGAAGAGGAGGGATCATCGCTGTTTGCTCGCACTCGACACAAGACGACATCGAAAGGAACTACGCGAGATATAACTTTCAACCGGAAGTCATTTACGGGTACTCGAGAGAACACCCAGAGATGTGTAAACCATATACATACCCCATTGAAAATTTGAAGGAAAAATACCACTTGGAAGCGAAGGACATTGCTATGATCGATGACTTGTCACCAGGATTCCAAATGGCGAAGAAATGTGGAGTCGACTGCATTGGAGTTATCTATGGGAAAGGTCACGACACGATTAAAGGAGAAATAGCGAAAACGTGTAAAAAGACGTTTGACACAGTTGAGGGATTGAAGGAATATATCTTGATGAACACAGAAGAGTAAGAGAGAATGTTTTATTGGGAGTATTCTAACTCATTTTAAGTAATACATTTTTAATACTTTATTTTTAGTACATTTATTTTTTGTTGTATTTATAGAAATAGAATAATATGGAACTGGTACAGTATTGGATAAACTATAATATATCTATTAAATAAAGTATGCTGAGTGCCACTCTTCCTCAAATAACAGAATTAAGCGCTGCTCTGTCGGAAACACTTCAACTGCTTTCTAAGATAACTTTCAATTCATCTTTTTATGACGACTCGAGTTTAAGTATTGAAGAACGAGTCGAGAAGATAGAAACACATTTAGACAAACTCAACGAAGTCATGCAAAGGAAAAAACCACTTGTCTAGAAGTCAAAGTACTTATATCTTCAATTGGAAAATCAGTTGAAGGCATTTGAAAATAATAAATATGAAGTATTCGAAAAAAAATAGTAATGAGCTTTATTTTACACGATATTCGGATACCCGAACATCTCTGCATATCAAGAGTTTCTCTCGAAAATCCCAAACCCGAGTGAAGACGACAGAAAACATGCCCAAGAGTATCAAGTTAAAAAGACAGAAGAAATCCGACACTCTCAGACTTATATTGATCAAAGAAGTTTAATGACGAAATGAATGAAAAGACACGACAGATTAACATTAATTCACGTCTTGAATCACGTCGATCTTATGAAAAAAAGTTCTATGAACCTTGTGGACTCACTGTTGAAGAGTTCTTTGCGTTAGCTGGGATATGCCAAACGTGTTTTAATGGTGTTTGTTTTGATAGTCAGGTTGATGGTTGGGGATTAAACGACTCCGTCTTTGAATCCAAAGTGTTAGGGCGCTCGAAGTTGTATTTTTTGATCGACAATGGTTATCAGAAGTTTGGAGGAGTGTTGTATGACTCTGTTATTCATTATCAATGGAATTACAATACACTGCCTTCATATTTTCACTGAGTACGTCGAACGTGGTGCTCCCCAAAGTGTATCATATCAATCCACAATACAGCGCAAATGCGTTTTATCTCCATCAAGCGTCAGGTGCTCTCTTTGTTTTTGGAGGGAATGATCATAACATCTTAATCAATAGAAGAGGACTCAACAATAGTAAAACTAGTCGTGGGCCAACATACAACACTAATGGAAATGTCGTCCAGTCCTATCGCGAGTTTGAACCAGTGAAAATCATTGTGTTCACTTTGGAATGAAATTCAGACATTTGGTTTCTTTGTTTTACTCACTATTAATAACAAGAGATGAACCTCACTAATAATTTTGATTATCGTAGTGAATCAGTAGACTCATGTCAAACCCATTGGCGATATCAGCAACGCCGTCACTGATTTTCACTTCTTTCACTAACTCACAAAGACAGGGGTTTGAGACACTGTTCGTGTACTTCTTGAAGTTGGTGAAGACCTCGTCGATGTTTTCAAATGTATCACTGCCGTGGCTTTTCTTATAAGAAAGTACTACTTTGTGCAACTCCATGCAGTTATCTAACATCGAGTCGATACCACTTCTTGCTTTTAACAGTGAAATAGCGCAGATGGCATTTTTGTGTAGAGTGAATTTCATAAAGACTTCTTGCTTCTTAGTTGTCTGTTCTAAGCAGAATATCTTGATGTCATCGAGCTTGATTTGTTCAAAGCCAAATCGATTGAACGCATTTTGAATTGTTCGAATGATTTGGGCTTGCCCGTTGTGGATTTTGAATATGATTTCACCAATTTGATTGTTTTTCAACTCCCAACAGACACTTTTCACGCGTTGTATGTTATGTAACACCGCCCATTCAATGATATCACACACTATATCTCTCTTCCTTGGCGCTAAAAACTGAATTGCTAGTCCCAAAGGCATTTCCTCTTCTATCGAAGCAAACTCAAAGACATTGGGTCTCTTCATCGAGAAGTCAATGCGGTGTTGGACAAACTTTGGTCGAATGGCCTCGATTTGCGTCTTTAAAGGTAACAAATTGACGTCGAAAGTACTTGTAGTACTTCCTTCTTCCGTTGTTTGTGTGTATAAACTCTCAAAGGGGAAGGTCTGTCGTAACGAGACAAAGTCGACTGCGGTTGACAAGACAAACCAAGTCGGGACGTTATTTCCTTTCTTCTTCTCGCGTTTGTAGACGGCAAACTTCTCGTTCTCTGCGACAAAGCGTGGTAAGTTTGTCAACACCGAGTCGAAGTTAAGAGGCCTGTCCGATCGTTTTTGGAAGAAGTCTCGTTCTCTGCAGTTCAATCCCGAGATTTTATCTGTCTCTGAATGACCAGTAGCCATTCCTATATCATCGGAATCGTTCGAGACACTCTCGTCACTTGAACTCTTCTGTGAGTCTTCGTCGTCTTTGAAATCCTTTTCGTCGGAGTCTGCGAAGTCCTCCGACGCCGTCTTCTCAGTCTTCTCTTCCTTTTTCTCGAGTGCGGGAGACGATATTAGCTTCAACAGATGTGATGCTCCACATTTGGTATTAAAGTAAAAGATAACACTCTTTTGAGTTGTTTTGTCTCCTTTGTGATAAGGACAATTCACCCGTAACCACTCTTCATCGTCTC